TTTTTTTTTTTTTTTGGAGACAGGGTCTCCCTATGTATGTTCAGGCTGGCTTGAACTCACTATGTAGCCAGCCTGGCCTCGAACTGTCGGCGATCCTCCTGCCTCAGCCTTCCGAGTGCTGGGATTACAAGCGTGCGCCACCACGCGCGGCTAATGGGTCTAATCTTTAAAATTTTTTCCCCCCTGTACCGGGGATCAAACTCAGGACCTTGCGCTTGAGAGACAAGCACGGCGCCACTGAGCTAAATCCCCTTTAAAAATATTTTTGCTGTGAACCCTGAACCTTGGTATAAATTTCCAGTGACGGGTCATTCAGAATATTAGGCTCGGAAAGTATCCACCACCACCCCCTCCCAGCACAAAAAAAATAAAATCAGACCAGTAAGTTATTTTACGTTGTCATTTTGCCCTGATGAATGACAGAGGGAGGATCTGTGCCCCACCTCACCTCACCCCATCCCCTAAAAAACATGCTGTGCTGGGAACTATAATACATAATTCACCTATACCCTATTTTACTTAACAGTCACAAAAATCTTATGAGATAGTAACCTTTTATTCACAAGTTTACATGTCTAGGGTATTGTCATAGATCAGAACCCAGGTTTATAATGTATGTCTCTTAACAATTAAGTTTATTCAAGTGCCTGCCCCATTTTGATGTGAATTTAACCAAACAATGGTTAGACTGTCGTACTACTTGCTTTAACATTTAGGTTTAAATTAAGATTGTACAAATTCAGATATTTGCCCTCTATTAATCTAGTTCTGTACACATGTTAAGGTGTTTTGCTTTTGGGGTTTTTTTTTTTCTAAATTTGAAACTAACAAATAACTATCCCTCTAAGGGAAGGAACAAGCCTAGGGAAGTTGTAACTCCGCTACCTAATAAAGGCTAAAACACTAGCCCTCCCACTCCCCACTTGTAATTCTGTGGTCTTTTCCTGACCTGTTTCATTTATGGTTATTATCTTATGAAAAATGGAATCATATACTTAACACTTTCTAGTACAGTTCACTCCAAGTACAGTTTGGACACATTCATTCTGCCACACACGTTTAGATACTCAACTGTGCATCTTTTTTCATTATTATTAGACACCTGACTTCCAAGGAACTACACCCTAACTCTAAAGGGACTGATAGTTATGCTGAGAAGATAAGACCTGTAAAAAGACAGTATAAGGGCCGGGGATTTAGCTCAGTGGTTTCACCGCCTGCTGCGCAAGCGCCAAGGACTCAAGTTCCATCCCCGGTACCAAAAAAAAAAAAAGACAGTATAAGGGCTGGGGATTTAGCTCAGTGGGATCAGTACTGAGATTACAGACATGTGCTACCACTCCTGGCCAAGAATCAAATTTTAAGAAATAATTTGGTGAGCCAGGGATTTAGCTCAGTGGTTCCGCTGCCTGCCTCGCAAGTACAAGGTCCCGAGTTCGATCCCCGGTACCAAAAAAAAAAAAAGAAATAATTTGGTACACAAAAATTTGCTTCTTATTCTAGACTTTTCCCAGAACGTTATTTAAATCCCGAGAGAAGAGACTCTTCAGTTACTGAAGAGCCTTTGGGAGCAGCTCCCTCAGTTTTCAGCATTATTTGAAGGACTGTGCTCTGATGAACCATTCTGTTGCCAGTGGGACTTAGAAATAATGAAGGCACTAACATCCAACTGCCACTCAAAGATTAAAGTTAGATACAAAATATGTTAAGGAAATTGGCTCCTTTGAAGGACAGATTAACTTGTGTTAAAACACACCAAGCATTATGTATAAAGACACACAATATCAAGTTACTTCCTCTGCACAATGGGATTGGAAGTTGGAAGGAGGTGGGAAACACTTTTTTATTTTATTCCCTTCTGTGCTGTTCAAATCTTTTGGCCCAGGGATTAAACCTTTAGGGACCTGTCCTACAGAAACACACAGTTGCTCAGAAATGTGTAAACAATTCACCATTTTACCGTTGTTGAACTAGCAAAAAAAAATCTTAAGACTGTATCAAATACTCATCATTCTTACCCAGTATATATGTTTACATAAGCTTAGGGAGAAGGCCGGAAAGCTACTTAACCAAACTTATCCACGGGAGAGAGGTAAGAAGAGTGGGCAGACCTTTATTTTTACAGTATTTCTGTACTAGCTGAATTATGTTACAGCATGCATTATTATTACATTAAAGTTTTCTTTTTGGTAACAAAATGTTACTTTAAGATAGCGTCTCTTTAAATGTGTCTCGTGAAATATCAGTTACATCTCCAGCAATTTTTCCCAGATCACAGGTGTTAGAATCACGTGGAGTTCTCACTTGGGCCCACATTGGTGTTGGAAGTGATTTCTGGACATCAGACCAGGGAATCTGAGTCTAACTAGTGCTCTAGAATACTCATACAGGTACTACAATTTGAGACGTAAAGAGCTAAAGAAAGAGCTGACCAAGGTGATTCCGAGGCTTGCTTGCTTAGGTCAACCTTAGTTGACCCTTATACTTTTATATTGAGCTCTGTACTTTTGCAGCTTTTTCAAATTTTTATTTAATTTTAATTGGCAATATTTATTTGGGGTATAATGTGGAGGTGTGACGTATGTATACATTGTGGAATAATCAAATCAAACTAACATCATCTCACGCTTATCACGTTTTATGATGAGAATATTTAAGGATTATTCTCATTTTTACTTTTCAATTCTTAAAATTTGTTTTAGCTCATGTTTGCAGTACATAATGATTACATTCATCCTGGGGAGCTGGTCCCTGTGCATAACACATCTCAGTTCTTTTTACTTTAACCTACTCCCTCCCTCCAATTCTGGATTCCCTTCTCA